ACTCGCTGCTGACGCTGAAGAGGCTCACCCAGAACGCAGACTGCGTGGTGAGCAGTAGCACTCGAGAAGGGTGTTGAGTAATCAAATTGCTCCCTTTGCTTCACAATGCTGCCGTGGGACTAAAAACCCTCACAAGATGTTATAAACATGACTGTATTCTGAATGAGTTACTTTTTACAACCCCTGGTTATCTTTTGATTTTGCCACCTGAGCAAACCAAATGTAAAATCCAACAGAGAAGCTAAACTGTTCCACTATCAGTGAGCTGAGACAAAATAACAAAATAATTTGATTAAGAGAGCTGGTCAGTCAAATTACCAATAACGTCATGATGTGATGTCAGACAGTTAAATAAGTGTGTCTTCACGTGTTCTGACAAAATGTCAGGGTTCAAACCGCTGCAAGCGCTTGCAACAAGTACACATGTCAAACAGTGTTAAGACATCAAACGTGTATAAACGCATGAAGCTTGATTTATGTCTCACAGAACTTTTATACAGTGTTGTCAGTGAGCCTGAGAAAATTATATTTTATTGACGAGAGCCACTTCTACACTGGACAAGTTGTAACTAGGCTGTTTAATGTGGATATTTAGCCTTTAAAGGAAAACTCCACCCAAATAATCATAAACATGAAGGTCGAGATTGTTCCCTCTCCACTCATGAAAGGGATTTGGTAATTTCACTGCCCAGCTGTCCTTGATATCATGATCCACGTAAAGCTTAAAGTTCATTGGTGTGTTTAACCGTGCCCTGAAACAAGCTTCGATACGTTTGAGTTATTTTATGTCTGCAATGCTGAAAACAGCAGAAATCTTTTGGGAAAGAATGTGACAGATGATTTGACTTTTATCGGACGGTTTGTTGAACTGCTACTTTTCAAGGCGCTGCTGTGCTTGTGTAAAAGACTATTAAAGCAGCAAACTGCAGTGCCATCACTGGGGCATTGCAAATCGAACTTACTCAATCTCATTCTGAAATCAGTGATTGTATTAGTCCGAGATACTCTGACAGTCTAATGGGGTTTCCTCTCTAATACCTATTTCCTCCAGGGTCTTGCATAAGCCCCTCATGTTTATTAAATTAGCCGGAAAGCTAATAGAATCTGCCCAAGAATTGGTCCCCCTGTTGCAACTGTACAGTGCGTCTTTTATGTTCGGCTCTCCTAACAACGACACACTGTGTTGCTTCTTTAAAAGGTTCTTTGACTGCGTCATTACTCCCATACCCTATCACTCTTTCTTTAACTTGGTAGCAGTGTATTGACTTTCACCCATGTTGTTTTGCTGGAGGGGATCTATTCCTCCAATTTTCTCTAAGTTTGTCCAATAATTACTCTGTGGGCTTGTGTGTCAGGTGGTGTTGGATAACACGGCTCTGAATCGCATCGCCACAGACAGACTGCATATCCAGAACCCCTCGTTCTCCCAGATCAATCAGCTGGTGAGTGAAACATGTCATCCTGTCAGTGGGCAGGTTTTAGTTTTCGCTCTAGAGTGCTTTCTACCAGACTGTCTGAGCATGTTGTCTTTGTTCAGAATACAAACTGTACTTGACACGCCTCGCTCACTACAAAAATTAAAAGATTCACAAACTAGTTTGGCGAGTCAGTTGCATGTCAGACTGGATTTCAGCTTTGTTAGGAATGACATGGCTGCACTTTCCAAATGATACGTCATATTTTCAGCATTTGAAAAAAGCTAAGCACACTCCTGAAATAGACAACAATTTGTATATAATTTACCACTTCTATAATTTTATAATATGTTTTTGTAGCTTAGGGTGCTGTTCAACTGTCCTGCATTATAAAGAGAAATGTTTCTGTAACTTCATATAGACATTTTAGATATTGTGCAAAAACTGGATTAACCAGATTCAGGCACTATATCTCTCAGCCTTTACAGATTTTATCTTATTTCTAAGCTCTAACCAGTTATTTCAAAAGCTCTGTGTCTAATTGAACTTTCATACACACAGGTTTCCACCATCATGTCTGCAAGTACAACCACCCTGCGCTACCCAGGCTACATGAACAACGACCTCATTGGCCTGATTGCATCCCTCATCCCCACACCCCGCCTCCACTTCCTTATGACTGGGTACACACCACTCACTACTGACCAGTCGGTGAGTTGTGGTCAGACCACTGAGAGAAATTAAATAAAACTGAGGAACATTTGTTTACCCTGCACTGAAGAAATAAAATCAGTCAAAAACATCTGAATATACCCAGTGCAAAACTCTGTATGGTTAATCCACTGTCAGTCGATTGAAAGTGTTCTTGCTGTCGGCAGTTAATATTTGAAATACTGAGAAGCTTTTTACTCTCCCCACTGTGCCTCAGGTTGCTAGTGTGAGGAAAACCACAGTGCTGGATGTGATGCGGAGGCTTCTGCAACCCAAGAATGTGATGGTGTCCACAGGAAGAGAGAGGCAGCCAAGTCACTGCTACATTGCCATCCTTAACATCATCCAGGGAGAGGTCGACCCCACACAGGTAGGCATTTGTTTCTTTGTGTGTATGAGGTGTAAAGTATAACCTTATGTGTTACACATCCCTTAACCTGTCTGGACAGCATTTTAACCTATTTCAACCGACTGCCGTAGGTTCATAAAAGCCTCCAAAGAATCCGAGAACGCAAACTTGCCAGCTTCATTCCCTGGGGTCCTGCCAGCATCCAGGTGGCGTTGTCCAGGAAATCTCCCTACCTGCCTTCGGCCCACAGAGTCAGTGGTCTGATGATGGCCAACCACACAAGTATTTCCTCCGTAAGTGCTTATCTTAGTTGTGACATCAGCCTGTTCAGCTACATTTTCCTCCAGTGTTTATTTATACAACATAACCTGTGTGTGTGTGTTGGAGATGTTCATTATTAGTCGTTCATCTGATACTGATGAATATCATGAATTTATTCAAATATGAATTTAAAGGTTGTTTGTATATGCTGCTAACTGCAATTGTAAAAATTGTTGCATCCATAATTTTTATATTGTATCACTCAAAATTGCCCATTTTAATCTTGTGTGAAATGCTTCGTCCTAAAGAGTAAAGTTAAGCCGTCGCAACAGCAGTTCTAGGGGAATTCCACACAAATTGAGTTTTAACTTGTTATGCTGCCAAACCTGACATTCACTCCAAACTGTGGACACTTTCTACTTTTTTGACTGGTTTAAAATATGGACTGTGAAGCTAGAATATTTAGTCCTGTGACATTATGAAAATAATATTTATAGTCATATTACAATGTCAGAATTACACTTTTTAAAAACTTCAGGTCAAAATAAAAGTAAGAATAATTTACAGTTGTCTAAGGAAGTTTAAGTGAAGATTTCATTTTCCTTTTTTGTAACAGAAGTAAAAAAACAACTAAACAAAACGGAAAGTGTGTTTTGAAAGAAGTCAGGATAAGAACCTGAAATCCAACCCATTTCCTGGTGTTAGTTTTGATGTCCTGTCTCTTGGTGTCCCACAGCTGTTTGAGCGGACGTGCCGGCAGTATGACAAACTGCGTAAGCGTGAGGCCTTCCTGGAGCAGTTCCGCAAAGAGGACATATTCAAGGACAACTTTGACGAGCTGGATAACTCTCGTGAAGTCGTCCAGCAGCTGATAGACGAGTACAGCGCGGCCACGCGACCTGACTACATTTGCTGGGGCACACAGGACCAGTGAATGGACTTACAGGTGTTGTGTCTCAGCCACAACTCAATCAATCAAAACGCGTTTTTAGTTTATTCTAACTCCATTCATCTCCCTTTTACACATACATGTCCCAAAATTAACACATTTGACTTAAGCTGCTTCTCTTGAAAAAATATTTATTGGCTTTTTGCAGTATGTTATATAAATATGATTTGTTGTGTGTTTCAACGTTCACTCATCGCGCGCTGACTGAGGGATGATCTGCAACACCCACTAGCTTAATATTAACCAAAAGTTAAAAGATTTGATTCTGAAATGTAGTTTATATAAGTATAATAGTCAAGTAAAAGTACAAGTGCTTATTCTCTGCAATTCTGTGCAGAAAGCATAAATGTTTTCTACAAAATCTATTAAATAGTTGTTGATAGTTGTTGTTTACTTTTCTATTTCTTTGCCTTTTTTTCAGCAATTTAAGAACCTGTTGCCTTGTTTGTTCTTTTTCTTACATGAACTCCAGCAAAGCTGATTTACAGGAAAATGTCCACAGACTATAAAACGCCTTCAGTAATGAGTAGGACTGGCTGAATGGTTGATGTAGGTTCTTATATCCCAGACATTTTACATGGTGCTTTGTCCCATATCTGTGCTGCTGATACGCATAACTCACTTGTCACCACTGTTCATGACCTATACGAATTAAGTTGAACTTGGGTTTGGGACAGAAAATGGTGTTAACATCTGCTCTGTTCACTGCATTGACATTTTAAAAGCAAATGTCACCAAGAGTACAATGAAAATTAGTTTGTACAGATTAACATGTCTGTGTACAGGGCTGGACCTCACTGTAATACTCTGTCTGTAAATATACTTAAAATAATATCTGGCTCACCAACGTTCTCTTTTTCGTGTTGATGAATTTACTCTCCCTTGTTGCTTTGCTTGTTGGACCTGCTGAAAATGACAAATAAACACATTGTTTTTGGTGTAATCACACAGGGTCGTGTTGCTTTCCTGGGAAAAAAAAAAAGATTAAAAACCATTTTCCCCCTCACCTGGAGCTGCTGTGTCCCGATGCCCTTCCAACAAACTCGGTTAAGGCTCATTATCACAGGGTTACGTGAAGGCACTTAGCACCGCTTGCTCAACCTGCTATTGTTTTTAACCAGAAAAGCTTGGAGAGGGGGGTTACTCCCAGCTCTGGCGCCAAACTTATGCCTTTTATCAAACGGTTCCTTTGTGAAACAATAGTCTTGGACTATTTCACTAGCTGAATCACAAGAAAGGCACAGTTTCTGAAAATGAAATGGAGGAAATGAGCTGTGAGGCTGAACAATAGTACTGAACACTAAATATGGTAAAATGGTGCTGTTTTTTATTAATTACATACAGTATTTATAGTTTTTATTGCACTTCCAAGTTGGTTAAAACAAACAATAGTGCAATTAACTATACACACATTACATAAAAAGGTACCGTGTGGCGTACAAACAAGCGTAATATAAAGCAACAACATCCGCAGTTTGATTTTTCTTTTTTTTTTTCTTTTCAAACATGTAGCTCAGAGCTGCCTGCAGCTGCAGTAAAAAAGAAGCAAAGACCTGCTTCTGGGCAGGAGATAGGGCTATGACTCATCAAGGTCGTCCATGTTGAGAACACTTTTAGTTTTGACGCTGGTTATCGCATTTATCGCATCCTGTAAAATCATCTTTACAAAGCCAATTATTCTCAAGATTCCTAAACGGGTCTCTACAGTAATATAAAGGTGTATACAACAGAGGGGTTTAATATTTTAAGTTATTCAGGTGTAAAAAACGAATTAATCGAAGGGGGATTTTTCTGCCTTGGGATTATTAAATGTTATAAAAGCTTATTAAAAATATCTTTGGTCCATGCTCCAACTCATGCCTCAGTGAAACAAAAATACTACAACAGTGAACACAAAGGAGCTACACAGGAGTTACACATCTGATCATAAGGAGCATTCATGGCTCTGATCAGTTAAAGCAAACCCAATCTCAAAATGCACCTGGGTTTGCATTTAAGACATAAAACACAGTAAAAAAAAAAAAAAAAGGGGGAAAAAAAGCACAAATAATACTACAAAAGCACCTATGGCCTGATTAGAAGGTTTCTGTTTAAATAGCAGGGGACAGATGGGGGCACTGTATGATAAATATGAAATGATCCACAGCTCTGACTGGGGCCTTCCTGTGTGGTCTGGGTTCAATGTCTTCGATGATTTATACATTGTGAAAATAACAATAATAAACAGTGAAGCACCTGTTTTTGTCAGCAGAGCAGAGCTGCATTAGAATAGTTACTGACACAAGCTAAAATTGATCCAATCAGTCAAGTGTTTACCAAGTTTGGTGTCCAGGATTACAGCCAAGACGAGCAGCACGAAAAAAGGACACATCAGAGCATTTGGTGGAAACAAAAAAACAAACAAACAAACAGCTCCAAAATCCTTTGGTTTCTGTGAATCAACTATCCCAGATCCTGAACGCGTCGTCCAGGGAAGAAGTTTCTTAATCAAATACACTCACAACTGAAAATCTCATCGGTGAGTCTCTATATGGATCTGGCAGCCAAAATGACTTGGCTACAGAGTTCAACATCTGTTTCTAGTTCCAAGTTCACATGGCTCACCGCATCAACAGTTCCAGGTAACGCAAGCCCGGCTGGGATCTTATGAAAACTAACTGTCTCTGATGAACATGTTGGCGTAGGGGCACGTGAGAAAGTGAGTCTGTGTGGGTGAGGGAGTGAGAGCCAGAGACGGGAGGGTTTGCACTGAACGTTCGCAACACTAGTTCAGCAGCGCACGGGAGGCAACTGCCTTCTAGGAAAGTTAACACAAATATGGCACACTTCGAGGGTGAGAAAGTATTTGCACTCTGAGCCTTCACCACAGCTTATTGTTGCCACAACTCACGCTATCTCCCCGACTTGGCAACCAGTGTCTCACATTGTTGAGGGGGTGAGGTTGGGCTAGGGGAGGGGGTTGTTGCCATGTAGGTTAACAGAGGTGGTTGTGTGACAGGATGGGGTGTGTGTGAGTGAGGGGGGGGGGTACGTGTGACACCTCATCAGCAACCGCACTCGTTTCTTGGGGTTTTCTAGGCCTCGCTCACAAAACACAACCCCCCTCGCCTTCTCGTCCTTTGCCGTTCGTTCACCCTCCCTCCTCCATTGGCCCGCTACTTCAGCTGGAAAGCTCAGCAAGGGTTTATTTTCATGGATGGGGAGCGAAAACAGCCCTCTCTTTGTTTTGGCTGCCGTGCTGTTCCCAGCGGAGGAGGCGCGGGGTCCTGAGGACCAGGTCTGGGCCTCCTAGGGGGCCACGTGGAGGAAGACAGGGGGAGTTGGGGGTGGGGTGGGGTTTGTGTGGGTCCCTCTCAGACGGGGTGTGAGGGCAGCTCCAGGAGGGTGGGCGTCTGCATCGAGGCCAGGTGATGGAAGCCCACCTCCGTGCTTTCTGCTATGGTGATGTCCGCATCCTCCCCTTTCCCTCGCTGGCGACGGATGGCACTGAAATATGCGTTCATCAGCTGCATGATCTCAGTCAGCTGTGACAAGAGAAAGAGAGAGAAAGAGAGAGGGAGGTCAGACTGGTGGCAGTCTCAGTGTCTGTCTGGCACTGTCACAGGAGGGTGGAGAAGCATGATGTCATCCAGCTGCTAGAAAAACTGGATCCTCCAGAAGCCGAGGATGATGTTGTTTGGCAGATTCTCGCGGGGACACACACATTCACACACTCACACATCCCTCAGAAAAAGAGGCCTCACATTTGTGTGGATATTTCATCACTTTGACACATTTTGTTCAGCAGCTGTTGCAGAAGAAAAAGAAGGGAGGGCACGGCAGAGCGTTTCATTCGTTCATCTGTGTCTTTGTTAACCTGACCTTGGTGAACATGACCGCCCAAACCACAGCAAGCCTCCGTGACCATTACCCTTAATCTCATCCTGCAAACGCCTGCCTAAACATGGTGTGTGAGAGCCCGTCGTCAAGCTTCAACCTTCACCTACACTTTAACTGTAACTGTAACCCTGGAATCAGCAGCTAAATCTTGCTCTCACCATTAACTCAAGGCCCGGCCATAATCACCCCCTGCAAATCCGCCCGCTTTCTTCTTTCCTGCCCGGTGGCTAAGAAACCCAGCAAATTCATGTCAGAGCAATATGAGGCCCTAAGTTCATAAAAGTAGAAGCCTCTCAGAGTCGTACTTCAATTCGCCTGTGTGTCCAATAAATAAATAAAAGCCACTTTTGTGCCCCACGAGAAATCACAGAGGGATTTTTTGTTCACTGTGGGAAGATGCAAGCAAATCCACCCAGTGAAAGGCGAGACTTGTTCTCTGCTGAAAAAAAAGCGTCTGTTTGGAAGAACATCCATGTTTCTGAGAAATGTTTTGCCTAATATTTTAATCTAACCACTGCAATAAAACTCACCCCCAGTTACTATTTGATGCCAGGAAGTTAGACTTTTGGTGGTTAGCATGCGGCAGGTTGTGTGCTCTCTATTTAGACCAAATTAATGAGTGTTTTTAAAGTGGGTCAGAGTGTTGGAGGGAGAGCTGCATTGTGAGCAGACAGCATGCTTCTTTCACTTACTCTGCAGAACGCTGCATGGCGATAAGGCCACTTGAACCCTGACTACAGTTGAGATGGATGGTGTCTAAGCTCAGTGAAGGAAATGGCTCCAATTTTACCCCCCTTCACCCTCACCCTGTATGTGCTAACGTGGGACATGGGTCACTGTACCTTGGTGGTTTCAAATAGCAGATCCCGATCCCCGGCTGTGATCTTGAAGGTGTTGCTGTCAGATACACCGTAAGAGCAGATCTGGCCATAAGGGAAGGACTCCAGGGCCTCTGCTTCTCCTTGCCGGTACAGAGACACGGACGAAGCAGCAACGCCCAGCCACAGCTTCTGGGAAAAACTCCCTGTCGAACTCTGCAGGGAGGTAAACAGATGTCAGAACAATAAATTACCTCCAAACTACTCTTGAGCATCAGGGTAACACAATCTGACAATAAAACTATAGAGCATGGCCTCACGATACTCACAATATAAAAGTCCACTTCATACAGAGTGCATCCAAAGCCCGACCACTGGCGTGCAATTGTGAGGTAGGCGGCCATACTGTCTCTGCAGGTGTAGCTGACCAGACCTTTCCAACGCTCCAAGATGGACCCCATGACGGCCGCCGCCTCCTCCTTCAGCCGGCTCCGCAGACGCATGTCCAGCTCCACCTTCTGTTTGTGCGCTGCCGTGGCCGTGTGGCTCCACAGCGTCCCCGCCAGGAGGCCTGTGGGGAAGCGCTGCGTCGTCGGGCAGCCCTGAGCTGCCACCAGACAAGGTGGCAGGGCTTGCGGGGCAGAGAGGGACATGAGGACGCGAGCTTCCAGCATGTCACCTGGGAAGAGCTCGTCCAGAGGTGGGCAGGGAGCGTGCGTGCTGAAGTCACCCATCAGACACTGGAGCCTCAGGGCCGCTAAGGCCTGCAGGTCCTCCTCACAGGCTGGCAGCTGGCCGCGCACGACCATCTCATGGCACTGCAGCGCACAGGGAGAGACAGAACAGAATGAAAATAAGGCACCATGTGTCAGCAATAGCCTCAGTCCTTCCATCAATATTTTGTACCCCACCCTGTTTTATTTTGTCCCATAAATCTTTTATGGGAGTCCTCGGGAAAAATGTTCTAATGAAGCCAGTGCTGGCTGCCTCCTGCCCCCTCTGCACTACAGCCAGTCCTCTTAGTCACGCTTTTTATACACTGCATTTTATTGTAATTACAGCCAATAACACATTAATGAAACATTATATTCCCTGTGAAATACGAGGAATTTATCATTGCGGGACAATTAATGATCTGGAGTGGTCACTCTAAGAAATACTCTTTGTCGAGTGGTGTTCTGCCCCATTACCTGCTCATAGAGGAAGAGATACTCGATGCTGTCCACCGATATGCTGTCAGCATCCAACAGGCAGTAGAGCTTGAAACACAGCTTCCACTGGGACTTCGACTCTGACTCTTTGGTGAAGAAGCTGCACAGAGGAAGAACAGAGGGGGTTAGGGAACAAATGTACCGATACACAAATGGTACACCAAGAATCTTCAGGCTGGATGTTAATATGTTACAAGATGCTGCCTCCCCGATGTGAAATGTTGTTTAGTAACTCGGTGGTTTGCTGAGGTTCATGTTTACCCTGTCACAGCACAGCGAGACACACACACACCTATTAAAATAACACACACTTCCTTCTTAATTCCAGTCGGATGCCTTATTGTTTCATGCAAGACTTTGCCTCGTACAACCCAGTGACATCAGCTTCACCGTGGCGATCCAGCGGCAGGGCTGGCTTTGCTGGCCGTGACACAGGTCCAGTTTCCCAGCAGGGTGTCATGTTTGACCAACAACACCAGACAAGGTCGCCACTTATCAAGGATACCGGATAACATTCAGCTGGGAGTCGAACAAGTCAAGATAAACACACAGTCCACCGGTGACAAATAGCTCAGATTCCTCCGACGAGACTGTGTTTTGACAGCGTGTGTGTCTGCTTGGTTTTAAGGTGTCTGCTTCCTTTGCGGCGTCTATCTGTGCTACAGGCTTGCAGGCTGATTCATTTTACAAACCTGGTCAGGATGTCTGCGATCAGAGCACCGCCTGCAACCGGCTGCTCCCACAGTGCATTCTGCTCATACAGTGCAAATGTGTTTTTGCTCTCTTGCAGGCCGAGCTTCTCCTGCATCCTTCGAACCACCTGAGGAATGGGACAGGTATGAGGCAGAGGTTGGAGTGAGACGAGACAAGACAGATATGCACGGTCTGTGATAATCATTAGAAATGTCACCAAACTCCAGACGGAGCTCTGAGCAGTAACACGTGAGAATGTGAAAGACTGAGAAAAGTTGCGCTCAAAAGAAGAATCCAGATAAATGCGTCCAAACCTCATTGGCAGTGGTGTGTGAGCTGATGTAGAGCTGGCAGGACCCCGGGCCAGGATAGTGCACAGTGCACAGCATCTCCTGTCTGCTCATCAGCATTTGGATCTCCTCCCAGGATGGCACACACTCCCGACACTTGGTCTTCTCCAGAGCCTCGCTGATGAATGACGCGTAATTATCCATCTCAGACTCAGGACTTTGGCTCTGAATCCTGCAAGAGAGGGCGAGAAAGTGAGATGGGTGCGGATAAAATGAATATGTTCAATACATAAAAAGGGAGAACTTGTTAATGCTCATGACTCAAAGTCTGTAAAGTGTTCTGCTGCGATCGTGGACTTTGCGTCATCCTTTTGATTTGACCGATTCTTTATTTTCTTTGGGCTGGCAATGCAAGAAAGTAAATGAGGCGAGGAATGACAAATGTTCTCACTTTAGCTCTTAGGGACTTAAAGGCCCAACATCGCTCAATCGTTCAAAGAAAAGGAAAATAGCAAAGAAAACATGTTTGACTTTTGGGTAACGCATGAAACAGGAAAAGGTGTTTCCGCTCCTATGAACCAGAGCGACCTGCCACTTCCTCCCAGTGGAGCATCCAGGAGTGGTAGGTGAGGGCATCTGGTGTTGTTTTAAAGAGACGGGACAAAAAAGCAGCGGTACGACTCACTCCAACTCAAGCCTGACATCTCACACACTTTAGAGTGTGAAAGGTGTGAAATACAACCTGGTGGAGTCACGAGCTCAGCCCTGTGTAAATACCAAGGGGGAAATAGGAAGGAAACAATTATACAACGATGTTCATCCCAAAATACACAAACAGGGGACGGAGAGAGGCAAACAAGGGGGCCTCAAACACTGTCAGATAGAGAGAGGCCCTCTTATTCCCTCCAATGTCTTGCTCTCTCATAACTATATGGCCAGAGGGTGGGATATGTCCTGCTAAAACATAATTAGGAATGTTCCACTGAGTCTGTGTGATCCTTCCTATACTCTCCTCCTCTCTTCACCCCTCTCTGCTCTTTCCTGCGCTCCGGCCTCCTCCTCCTCCGCCTCCTCCTCTGCTTTCTTTCTTCTGGCCTATTCTCTCTGACAGCAGACATTCCCGGGGGGTTTCTCAGGGCACTGGGGGAGTGGAGGAGGGTTTTCTGGGCCCACTGCCCAGCTGCAGCCTCAGCACTGATCCATCGAGTGAGAGAGTGCGTGAGAGCGCCGGCAAGACGTATCAAAACACAGGCAGCAGAGTTCCACGGTGTTATTATGAATCGCCGTCGCATGCAACTGCTCCATTAGCTGCAGGCGGATTCCCAGTAGAGAAGTATAGATATAAAACTGTAGTGATTTGATGACATGGCGTTAGACCCAATATCTGGGGCATGAGATTAGCACTGCTAATAACTTAAATTGCCACACTTGACAGAGGAGCTAATTCAGACTTGCAAATTCAGCCCTGAAAACACTGGATCTATCTGAGGGAACACGCTAACAACGTGAAGCCATATCACGCTACCATATCTAAACATATCTAGCGGGATCCTGACGCCTGCTTTTTAAACTCCAGTCTGGCCCCCAGGTTTTCTCTGCTTCTGTAACATTGAACATGTCTCCCCTCTTCAGACTCAGAATCTGATGACCCAGAGTGGGACGGCACCTTGCTGATAGAACTTCGGTTCATATTTGACTTACTTTGTTGCCCTCTTCTAAAATCATTTTTATCAATATAAAATAAACACTATGATATTACTGTTAACAGACAACTGTGGTTTCGACTACCTTAAACTGTCAACATAGATGAATCTATTGTAATGTTTTCCACGTGTCAACCACAAGTCATGTTTCCCAGTTGGACAAATTAGAGCCAGAAAAAAAAAAAAAAAAAGAAGAAAAATTTTCCACTTGCAATTTCAAGACAGAGATGGCGTGAGCAGGTTTCTTCAGTCTGCAGGATGATATTAAATCCAATGTGAAGAAATACTGAACTGCATTCACGTTATATTGCAAGGGAAAAAATAAACTTTATATTTGAAAACAGAGGACTCAAAGTTTGGATTCTGAGGAACTAAGATTCTAAAAAGGCACTATAGTGAATGAAACCACTTTTTATTTTACATGTCTGATTTTTTTCCTATTAAGATCAATGAATTATTGTCTTTGACATTTTTTCCTGACCTGTACCACACCCTTCCAGTAAAGTTTGAGTAGTAGTCAAGTAGTTGTGTAATTCCTGTTATTCTGAGGTAAACAATCTTCATTCCATTTGGAAACTGAAATACAATCACATTGACATTGCTCTAAGTGGATTTGTGATTTTAATCAGTCCAACATCAAACTCTGTTGTATCTCACCTCTTGAGGTGGAACCGCAGATACTTGAGCACAGTGGGCCCGGGCAGGAAGGTGCAGCTCATGCAGGTGAGGAGCTGCCAGTAGCGGAGGTGTGCGGCAGTGTACGGGGCAGGCGTGTAGCTCGTTTGCTTCACTAACTGGCAGTAGACCTCGTCCCGGAGCGTCCGCAGGTCCAGGCAGGTCTGCAGCACGCCCTGGATAATAGGGACCGGCTCCCGTGCCGACTCAAGCTGCTGCAGGCAGTTGAACAGCTTCACGGCCTCCTCACGCACCGAGCCGTAACCTTTCCCACTGTGGTCTGGAGAGAGGAGGAAAGAGGAAATATTGTGTTCAAGCTTTCACTTGTTTCTACTAGAGGAAGATCACTGATTTGTAGCCAAGGCTGATGTTGTAATACAACAATGAGAATGACCATTGTTCATCTTACTTATTGTGACATTGTTCCCTTTTCTAATCTTTTCGTTTTGTGGTTTCTCCTATTCTCACTTGTTTTAATGAAGCAGTGAGAGCTTGTTATTGTAGTGGCCTGCACTGTGCTTTCTGCCTATCAGCAATTCAAACAGCTCAGTAATCACAGAGATCCCACTGCTTCTTTCCACTTAGCAACAAAGTCATTGAACTGCAGTAACATAGAATGTCTAGCTTACCGTAGAATGATATCTGTTAGACAACATATTTACTCAGTGAAGATGTGCATTGAGCTGGGAGGAATACGTAAAATGTTTTAAAGCTAGGGTTGGTAATCCTGGAAAACCCTTCTTTTCTTTTTCAGACAACTTTATTTATCGATGCCTAACAGGATATAAAGACCATTTCAACAAAAATGATAAAAAAGTGTTTCAGAATCAAATTACCAACCCTGTACCTTTAATTAATCAAAAAAGATTACACATATTAGGGTGACATGTCCAAAATGGTTTGTTCTCATGTCATAACTTGCAATTGTTGCAAAACTTAAATTGCAAAATGTCTGGAATGAGTAATTGACTTTTGTCAAATGGAAAATCAGTTGTTAAATCTAGTTATTCTCACTTGTGAAAAATGCATTATCTATATAAATAATGAAATTGAGGATAAATAAAAATTTTGTATATTGAATATAGTAAAACTGTAAACAGATATTCTGAATTAACATGCCATGTGAAAAATCACAATAGTCTCAGCCAATCAGATTTTTAAAGTGCTGTAGTAATAGTTTAACTTTATTTTCATTTTCATCCACAGTTACACACATAACCTACATAATAATGTATGACATGCTCATGTTAACTACTTACATGTGTGCTCCAGGCTGCCATAGGGGAAAGGAAGCAGAGGGGCGTACAGGGGGCCCTGGGTGTACTTCAGGATTGGGTTGTGCTGGTAGATGTGCTCCACAACCTCAGGGTTGAACTTATTCTCCTTTAACACACAAGCAAAAGAATTGTGACGATAACATCATTAGACGCAGAAAAGAACAACTTTCATATGTCTGCAGTGAGCCCGCGGCCGACCTGCGGGCGGGTCAGTGAGTGGGCGATTGAGAGTGCGGTCTGTCTGTCGGGGGTGACCAGGGTCGACTCGACCGGGGTCATAATTCAGCTCTGGCAACTTTCAAAGCAGCAGGAAGGTCAAGTGATGACCCAGCAAACCACACCAGCATGACTGACACGTTATATTTTATCCACTGGTGTCAATGGGTTTCGTGTGCGTGTGTGTCTTTCACTGCCGAAGTGGATAGATGCCTCGCAGTGGTACAGATGGCTTCCATGCTACTGCCCTCCAGCACCTGTTGCTCATTAGTAATGTTGCCACTGCCCCCCCACCCCCGAAAACCAGCACAGCCTTTCTCTCTGGCTACAAGGCAAGCACCCCCCCCCCCCCCCCCTTAGTGGGGCAAAGTTGACACATTCTTCTTAAGTGTTTGGTGCACACTGGTGACAGGCTTGTCTGTTTGAACTGTGGGAATGAGTTTCTGTGGGCCACATGCAGCAGGATACGGCACCAAAACCCAGATGATACTCATATGGTGTACGTAAATGGTTGAACCCCCAGGTGGTCTTCAATTCCCTTTGGTCTTCCAGTGTGACGCATGCAGTGGTTCGACGTTTTGTGAAATACCCTTATTATGTCACATGAGAAGATTGATTCTGCTGTCATGTGATCATGGAAGAGATGGCACTGCAGCCAACAAACTAAGCTTAACCCAAGAATAAATCTATTCAATAATTTGATAAATCCAGAAATCTCTGTCTGTATGTGGAACGCATCCCTAGAACTGTTTATCTTATCAACTTCACACTTGGCATGTGTTTTGTTAAGGACCCAAGTGAAAGTGTCAAATTTGGTGCAATTTGGACACACAATGAGTTAAATATTGATAAACATGACCAGCGTGACCAGCGCTTCTGTAGCACCAGCGGCTGGGACTTATGATGTGCCTTCAAGACAACAGAAACAACTGATTTTCCAGTTCAGGATCCTGCATACTGAGTGGAGCGTCATCAAACTTTGAAAAAACAGGTGAACAGCTCTTAATGCAGCAGTGGTGATGCAGCTTCAGGGTTCTGTGAACTAAGAACCGGTCTTTCCTCACCGCAGCTCAATAACTGCAGGTCACGTTTACAGTTTCAGAGAGAAAGCTGCAACCAGCATCACCACAGGCTGAACAAACAGCCCATTCCAAACAGACAGGTTTAGAACAGGCACTGGACTAAAACTAGAAATGGGAAAAACAGCTGGCCTGGCTCTATAACTTGTTGACACTGAGGGGTTGCTCCTAATTCTTGGGCATTGACCAAAAATGTTGAACAATTTCTTAAAAGGGGAATTCTAGTTTATACAAACTGGCAGGGGCGGATCTAGGGGTGGGGCCAGGGGGGGCTACTGGCTCCACTTTTCCAAGTTTTTTTTAAAGTGCAATGTGCAAGGAACAATTTTTGAAATATATTCAATTATGTGTAAACAAGGATTGACTTAAATGTGCACCTTAGTGAATCAGGAATTGTGCATTGATGTTGGACATATAATTAGCTCCTCCTCCTGATTTAAAAAGAAAAATCATTTCTATCAGTTATGATAACATTGTGCTCAATACGGAAAGAACAGCAGCATCTGGTAATATTGCAACATTTCTTATGTTATAACAAGGTCAATGGAGGTAAAATACACAGGAAGTCAGACGATAAAAAAGGAGTTTAGTTAAAGAATATTAAAACTATTTTATTTGGGGGTAAAACCCGAACTAAGTGCACCTGAAATGTCACAGATATTCCCACAGTGCACAAGAAGAGTGTTTGCACAACTACTAAGTGCAGTAGGTTGGAGTTGAGCCAGGACGTCTGTGTGTTTAATGCTTACAACAAGACAGTTTCGCTAACAAATTTACAGTTTGCTTTTGTTTGCTGTTTCAACTTGTTGTGTTAATGCTGAACTCCCAGCATTCGGCAAATTACTTGGTGTCTACGGTGTTTCTATTACAAATAGGAATAGTGGTTTGAGCCCCATTTCAAAAAACGAGAACTGTCCTTTAAATGTAATGTGTGGTAGATTTAAAATAGAGCAGTTCATCCAGCTAATCTGTTCTTCAGATCTTCTCTCCATTTTTCTCTCTTTTGCACATGGCCTCTGGCTGTAGGTTCAAGGCTGAAACTAAAGTCCCTTCTCTCCCTTGTGTCTGTGGCTGGGACTTGAATCTATGCCTTAAAAGAAAAGTGCGCACTTCTGTCCGCACAAAGCCTCGTCTGTTCATTCGCTCTTTGATTTTTGCAGCAGCAGTCCTAATCTCACACTGGAGAGGGACAATACCTCATCTATTTGAGTTAGCCTGTGTGCCTGCGTGTTAAGGTGTGAAAGAGAAGCGACAGACTAAAATGAAACATTAAAGACAGAGTAAAAGTGGTCAGAGGGAAAAACAGGCCAAACAGCGAATGAGGAGCACTTTGAAAGCAAAACATAATCTTGGCCCCTTCTGGCAAAGCACACGGGCAGACGGAGGCGAGCAGATTAACCACTTTTTTTGAGATTAGAGACTCTCGTTGGGAGATTATGGAGACAGGAGGCCCGGCGCAGGACTGCTTATCTGGCCCTGCTGCTTCAGGCCAAACCCTCCTCCACCTCCTCTGCCAAAGCTGCCCCTCTCTTCACCCCCGGGGGCAGACTGATGCAAGACGAGTCATCTGTCTGCTCAATGAGATTCCAGCACGCTGTGTTCTCTAGCAACCCCAGGTCTAAAAATATGGCCGTCGCTTATAAACACACTCACTCCACGTGAGAAGGTAAAGGAAAGAGTATTTTTCTCAAGCTCCAGTTCCTCAGAGCGCAGAATAACTGGTTATACCTCTATCTAGAAATGACTGTTGTGATTCAGGTCTGTTAATCGGTCCTGTCCCATTGTGGTGGAATAAGATGAGGTCATTCAAAAGAGAAAAGCAAGCAGAGGAAACTTTGGACTCCTGGCTCAGTGTGGTCGCTATGGGAACACAGCAGAAGGGAAATAATGTATAGCCCAATGACGGCTTGTTGCTGCATCTCAAATCAGATATGTCAGTTACTACACTGTATGCACAGTCCATACATCTAGTGTCACGTCAATTTCAACAGAGTAATGTTTCTCAAATCAAGCACCTCTGCTGTGTTTTGCCCTTTGACTGTCACCCACCAAAATATCTACCAGCTGCTTTGCTCATTTGACTTGAAAATGTATATTTTACTTTCTTGTGCCTGCCCCGTTTGACATTGGAAATTATGCCACCAATGGTTGTTTGCTACTCAGCCTATATGGCGTCTATTTAGGTTGAAGAGTGTAACCACTAACAAACAACTTTTGACCATTTTAAGTCCACTAGCCAGGTACCTACAGTACGGTGCATGTTGTCATACGCACTTATGCATGTGTGGAAGTACGCAAATTGAGGCGCAGCATGTGTTTATATATTGTTTCTTGTTACAGGCAGAAAGTGTGTGTATATGTGTGTGTATCTTGTGACCTACCTCGATGTCTCGGATCAGGAGCTGTGTTGGCGTTTCCACCGGTGCTTTGGTATCAATGATTTTCTGGATGGCACATGCCCAGTGCACAGCCTCATTGAAATGCTTGGTGTATAGCCTGTAGCAGTGCTTCCGCCCATATACTGTGATGCTCCAGTAGCCTGAAATAAAAAGAAATAATAAAAAAACATTGCATTTTACATGACTGGAATTTGTCAACACCTCCACCAAATTTGTCTGTTTTTTAGCAGGATGACGCAAAAACTACTGGACAGGGGGGGTTCCAGGATATGTTTTTCCCTTTCTTTAAAAGTGCAGGATAGGGCCTTTTTTGCATTTTTGTTTATTTTTACAAGAATAATTCACAGATCTTGATCAGATTTGATTTAAATTTTATTTTATAAGGGGACTGTTGGGCCTTGGCCGAGATATGCACTCTGTGAGTGACATTCAAATTTAAACTGCAACTTAAGTGATAACGAAAGTAAATAATATTTAAGTAAATGGGGAAGAGACCAGTGCAGTGTTCACTGCATGGGACACCCTGCATATCTAGCGTGACTCCCTCCTTCTGACTTCCTCTCTCTGTTTCACTGAGGATCAGAGGTCAGGCTTGGAGGAACACACGCTAAAACCAAACAAGAACAGTTTTCGTAATGATTAAGTAAGACAAGTGTTAAACGCAACAGTGTTTCTCCCTCGGACACCCTGTCATGGGAATGCACAAGACGTACTTCCTCCTTGTACAGAGGAAGCATTAGCCATACTTCAGTCAGCCTGCAGCCCCGTGGCTGTTATCAGCCTTTCCTGCTACGTGACACCACGTCTTTCTTTGTTTAGGTTCTCTGAAATACAAACCCAAAAATGCAAATGCCTATTATGAATCTGTTTGGGGTCCTTAGATTTACTCTGGTCAGTGATGCCACAGATAAAACCCCTTAAAGGGAAGTGGTTTAAGGAACACACAGCTTTTCAGCCAATGGAGCTTGTGACAAAGCCACTTTCTGTCCAGAAAAGTCCCATGGTATATTGAGTTCCTAAGAACTATGTTTGGATTTGGGTTTGGAGATTTTAAGTGGTTTGGTGAAGTCAGCAGGACATAAACCCCTCCATTGATGGACAGGCAGACAGACTCAGAGGAAGGGAGGCATGTTTGAGTAATACATTAACTTGAAAAGGGACAAGTCATCCCTGTGTCTCTTCCCGTCCGGCAAAGATTATTCTTTCACGTCAGTGTCTTTTGTTTCTTTCATCCGAGAAATGGAAGGGAGATGCCCAAGCTGATTACTCAGATGTGAGGTTTCTAGACCAACCTGGAACCATGTTTTCGACCAAAAACAGCTGGGGCTTCCCAAACTTAACTCAGAATTACTGCCCTGGTGGGAAGGGAAATGGGACCACAACACATCACAGGCAAAAAAAATCCCTGAAAAACTTCCTTGTAAAATGTCTTGTCACCATACGCTGGGAGTTTACAGGTGTAAGTAGATTCTGCAGAGATTAGTCATGAGTGAGTTATGCTGCAGCGCTGCTCACCTGTTTCCTTGTAAGTCTGCTTGTCGGGCCAGATGACGGAGCAGAGGTTGGTGAGGACCAGCGTTCCCAGTCTGCGGGCTCCTTTCTCTGGGCCGGTGTAGTAGTCGAGTGAGTCCTGGCTCAGCACAAACCAGTAGCGACGCTGCTTAATCCAGTTTCCTCGCACCTCCCTCAGCAGCCACCCTTTAATCAAGATATACACACATGTATGGAATTACTACTTGAAATTAATTCATTCTAATACATTAGAGAACAGAGCTGCAATAGTTATTTGATTAATTCAATCAATGTCAATAATTTTGTTAACACTCATCGACTTTTTCCTCTCAAACTAAAAATCTCCAGATTTGGACTGTTGGTTGAGCAAAGCAAGATATTTACCTCTGCCAAGGAGGTTTTGTTTACACCTCTGTTTGTTATTTGGTTGGTATATTGATAGTAAATAAAAACTACTGACAGATTTTCATAAAACTTGAAGGAAGGTTGCAGTATAGGTCAGGGATGAACCCATTAATTATTTTTTTTCACTTTTTTACAAAAGTTTTTGAGAATAATTCATGGAACTTGGAAAGTGTGTAAAATATTATGCAGCTTAGTTGAATGTAAGGAGACTGTTCCCATGGTGGTGGAATGGGCTCTAGTGTGTGTCATTCTGGTTGAACATGTCACCTTGAGTTCTGAACACGGGACATCGTGATGGACATTTCTGGATTCACACGTCACATTAATTGATTCACAGCCCCATCATTGGGGCTGGATATTGTCTGACAGCTTTTAATAATCCTGCCAAGCCCAATATTAATAAGAAATAGACTCTATAACTCTAATTTGATTAACGAAACAACGTTATATCAGTTAATATCCCTTGTATTTTCCTGCTAAGAGAATATAGATTTTTCATGTGTGTGGAATTTTTTCATAGAAACAAGTGATGTATTGCTATTTGACGTCACTGTACTTTCTACCACTCATTTTATTTTTGAACAGACAAAGTGTTAAGTTCCCAGCAACTAGACACCCGGACAATCATTTCCTGTCGGAGGTCTGGGTGGTAGGTGGGCTATAGTCATGACGCTGCCACACCAGTGCTGCCATACCATGTCTTCCCTAAGAATAAATCCAAAAGCCATGTAATTATCCATAAAGTTTGCAGCAGTTTGTATGTGACTGCCTTGTTGGGTTAAAGAGTAGGGGATAAAAATACAGCCAGTTAATGGCACAGGCTTTAAAACCTGCATGCAGCCAACATAATTACCACTTTAGAGGTTGACGGAGTGTGAAAAGGAGGGAGAGGGAAAGAGAGTGAGAGCTACTGGAACAGCGTGACAGTTAAAGACAAAGAGAGTAAAGCAGACATGTCTTCATCCAGCACATAGGCATGCCCGCCGACCCTGCCAAGCCTGGCTCCACAATGCAAGACTGTTGTGTTACCAAAGTCCTGAGGGTTTGGAAAGAGTGCAACGGCCCAGATCCACTGTTCCCAACCAGCAGTGAACCTCCTCTTCCCCCTGAGCTATGTGTGCAAATTGTCCCTAATAAATATTTAAACTAAGAGTAGATAAATAAACAAGTTTGGCAGAGCTCGGTCCAGATGCTGCCTCTGAGAGAAACAGACAGAGGAGGATAGAAGAGTCCTGGATGAGGGGCAGCGTTCATCCAGAGGTCTGATGGAGAGAATGGTGCTGGGTTTTAGCAGGCCACCTGGAGCGACACTAGGGCTGGGTGGGACTATCTGAGGTGGCAAGCATGCTATACTCTGGCAGCGTGCCACATGTGGGCTGGCCGTGCATGTGAGTACATATGGTTCTTGCACACTTCCGAGTGGTTTTAAAGGAACAATTAGGCAATGTACCCTTCACTTCCTACCCTGTGAAAAACAGCAATGACGCCACGCCAGCATCACAACTTCCTCTGTGGTTAGAAATCTGCGTGCCACCTGTCCACCTGTGCCGCCAGGGTTTTTGTTTTTTTCCCCCCCTTTCCTCAAAGCGGTTTTCAAGACAGCGCAAAGCCTCCACTGTCTCTCTACTACCCTGAAATAAAACTTAAGAGGGAGGAGGGGGTGAAGGCTCAGCCTCTCAGGCCATGTTTCCTGTTTGAGAATGTTTTTATATGATATAAGTGCCAGGTTTGAACTCACCATAAACCCACCCAATATAGCCCAAAGTAAAAACCCTGGAGGTACTTAACACCACATCAGAGGGGGGCAGCATCAAAACCCAACGTGAAAGGGATAAATAAAAACCATGAGGTAAGTCAGGGCTGAGCCTGTTGACGGACAGCGTGTGGGAGGCAGACACGCTGACTGGGTGAGAGACATAGAGAGAAGGGCATGGCCGGTAGGGTGACGTCTCGCTTGCAGACACAGGACATCCCCAAAGATACCGCTCTTCTTTTGGGAACTTTTACCAGAGCTATAAGAAAAGGAGCACAGAGCAGCAGCTGAGTCCTGGGACCCCCTGTGTACCCCTCCCCTGGTCCTCCATCTGGATCCCATCTCTGTATCCTGCTAATGCCTCCCCTGAGGGCCATGGCTCGCCCTTAATTTGTTTCATTTGTGACCCCTGACCCCACCCACGCCCTGCCCCCTCAAACACAGATCAAGAAGACAATCTCTCTCTGTGCACTTCCATCTCTGTGCTGCAGGCCTCCCGTCTTCCACGGGTTTTAAAACAAAATTATAAAGAAACTTGAGCTTTGAAAACAACTTCAAAGTTTAACTGTAAAAATTGTTTCACATACACATTGGAAACTTTGCTCTGCAGGCCTGTGCATGCTGACAGTGAAAAAGAAGCCCATTAAGCATCATCACTGAAATTAAAAGACTTCACTTCACAAAAACTTCACAGCTTTATATTACAGTTTTAGGTCAGCTAACATTATCTGCAGGCTGTTCATGAAATCGTATAATGGAATTCAACAATATAACTGGGAAAGAAGGAGCCAGACTGTATAATTATGTACAAGCAACACATAAATAAACTGACTGACAGATTGTGCTGTAGTTTACTGGAGCATGAGAAGCTGTGAATCATGTGAGGAGCATTTGATCTGTGAATCAACAAAGCTATGTCAATAAACCAATGTCAGCATCTCTTTCTGTCACTACCCCATGCGTTTTACCACTCATCTGCCACTCATCGGTCTATATCTGCAATGTCTGTGCCCTATTTTAGATACCGGGGCAACATATCGCCTCATGTAGCCTCAGGATGTCCTGATGAAAAAACAAACAAAAAAAACAAAACAAAGAATAACACAGTGAACAAGGGGGAAAGGCCCTAATGGAGGGATTCTTGAAAACCTGTGCAGTGCAAAATGGAATGAGGGGGATTATCTAATGCCCTGAGGTGGGCTACCGTTGTGGTGGCTTTAATAGTGTGGTGGGTTAAAGGATGGGGCCCTGGAGCACGAGCTGAAACTCAAAGTGACAGTGTAATCAATGGCCCAAGGAAAGTAGTCCTCTGTTTTGGAAAGCAACTCCACACACTTATGCGCCAACAGCGAGAGAGCGAGGGAGCGAGGGAGGGGGCGCTGGCCGAAGGGGCATGGTAACTGCTGTCAGAATTAGGCAATCTGACTGCCGCCACTCCAAACAGGAACGTAACTTATCCAAGCGCTGGCATTTCACTGCTCCCTCTCAGTGGCGGAAAAAAAGGGAAAAGAAAATCACGGAAATATCCTCTGAGATCATTCCTCAAAAGCATCCCACGCGCACGACAGGAGCTGTCCCTACATGAACACAGTGAGCGGCAGGAGTCTGGGAGCAGCTGTGGGCCACATGTGGTCAGAGTGAGGTTGGCTACAGGGCGACAGCTCAGCATGAAACTGCGACACTACTTATTAGGGTAATAAAAAATATACTGCACTTAATGAGATGACCAGCACCAAGATGGGCCTGCAAGGGATTTATTTATTAACTGAAATTCAAAGCAGGGCTACAGTTTAAGATTATTTCTACTATTGATTCAATGTGTTTAAGCTAGCGATTATTCAGTTTGTATAATGTAGTGACAAAATCTTATCATAATTCCCTCAGGGTGATGTCTGCAACCTGCAGTTTTGTCCATAAAGCAAGTATGAAATTTGCAATGATATGAAACAATATCCTTTGATGGCACCAGGTATAGACATGCTAAAAAATAATTAAATTGCATTGATAACTTGTTATTTCTGCATATGACAAGAAAACCATAACATCTTTCAATCAAAAGCATCAAATCCTGGAATCAATGAATGTATAACATTTTTCTAATTGATTATCAAAACTCTAATAATTTACACAAATAATCAACTTCTCCTTTTAGCCGTGTGACTCTGCTCACCACAGCAAGATCATAGCAGGTGGATGCATTCAATTTAAGGCTGAACAGAACAGAGCATCAGTGGTGCAGTTTTTTTAAGAAGAATGAGACTTACCTTTGACCAGCAGCTCAGGCTCTTCCTCCAGGCCCATCTTATTCTTGTCAATGATCAGGCTCTTCATCTCTTCAGACGCCTCTGACACGGTGTGCCTGTGTGGACGAGCAGGAAGAGCGATGTAAATAACTTCCTTCTCACCTCAAGTCTTCCCCTGACTACTCCACCACCGCCCCATTGGGTAACTAATTGGCCTGGAGACACACGGTTGGCTGCGAACACCCCCCTCCACCCCACCCACCACCACTCTCAGATGTGCCAACAACTAGCCTTCCCTGATACTCTCAGTTGGGGGGAGTCACGCAGGAGGGGGTGGATTGGAAGAAGTGCCATGAATATCCGTCCTCCAGCATTCTCCCACTTTCCCTCCCTAGCAGCACACAAGAACGTGAACACACACTGATGCATACCGCGCCACTGTGGACAGCTCGTCTCTCTTTTATCACTCCAGCCGACTAGCCGAGCGGGCGACTGAAAATAAATGTGACAGAGCGACGCCGGCCTGATTCCCAGCCAGACAGCTCACGCCGGTCAGAGGGAGGCAGAAGGTTCAAGGGGTCACAGCCTCGGAAAGTTAAACCATAAACATCAAAAACATCTGTAAATCTACTGCATCGCTTGCTTTGTCCTTCCCTATTTAATGCCTCACCATCACGTTTGCTGCTCCCTCAGCATCTGGTCAGACCATGCTGTGGGCTTTATCTCTTTCCTTATCTCAGGCCAAGGTCCATTTCCAGTCTATATGATTGTTTGGAGGTTTTATCTCTCCTCATTTATATCCCTAATTACTCGTTTATTTTCTCTATTTCCTGAGTTTAACAAACTTTGTTAGGTACAAGTGACAAACCCCTCCTTCCTTCCTGTCCTCCTCCTCCTCCTCCTCCTCCTCCTTGTGGGATCACCGCTCAGGAAATGAACCAAGCCCTCCCTCTCTGATATCTGGCCTCTGGTTACCTATTTGCTCTCCAGCTGATTTATGTCATTATTGATCTGATAATTCTTGGAATGTTCCTCCTCACGGAAGGCAACAATAATCAATGAGTCTGAATATAGCCTTATCTGCTTTGACTCAGCTTACACGACTGCAGAGGCCATTTCCTGTCTTTCTACTGACCTGATCCTGTCCACACCATGGCATATAAACTTGATCCATGGGACATTACCTCTCATTTACACAATATTGTTCTTTCATTAAACACAATTATAGATTCAAATTGATTGCCCTAAATAACATAAGACAGGGAAACTCTATCTGGTGGGTCATTTTTACTTTGGCAAGTTTTTCACCCATCTGTTTTTGTGTTGGTTGGTCTGTTTGTAAGCAAGATTACATGATAACTAAAGAATGGATTTTCTCAAAACTTGGTGGAAGGATGCAGAATGGGTTAGGGAAGAACTCTTTCAATTTTGGTGCGTATACACAGTTTTTAAAATCAATTTCTTTAACATTTTTTCACATTTTTATTGATTTACAAGGAAATACTTCATGGAAGGAACAAATCAGGCTTATTTACGAGATTGATATCTATGACAATGTGCAATTCGGTGCAGTTTGATTGAATTTAATGTGACTATTCTTCCTCAGAGGAGATATGTGCTCTACTGAGTGCCATTCTTGTTTTCTGAGTATATTAACTCATCACCAAAAAGCAAGAGTGAGAGGAAGACAATCAGGATCCTGTCACATTATACCCAGTCAGGCTGTTACTAAGCCTGCTTGCTTGCTACAGCAGCAGCCTGTGGGGACCTCTGAGAGTCCGTGCATCCACAGACCCCACTTAAAGGCATTAAAATAAACACAGACATGTGAGGACGTCTCGTATTTGAGGTTGTTAATATCCCCGCTACATAACAGAGACACACACGCAGACGGGCAGAGTTAGTCTGTGTGCAGCCCAAACAGGACAAGGATTAGAACTAAAGAAATCCTACGCCTCCATCTGAGAATATAGGCTTGTGTACACGGCAGCTGTGTTTATGTTCAATGCATCCAAAATGTCAACACATGTCGTTTCTTAATCTAGGTTTAGGTTAAACTAATATTACAACAAGGACAAATGTAAACTTATAAACAATTGCTGTAACCAAGAGCAGTGACTTAACTTTACAGTAAGTGGGAGAGGTTGTAAAGTAAAAGTACACATACATCTTGGAAGAATAATCTTGCGGAAAATCAACCTTGGTTCTCATGTCTGCAGATTTCTAAGTCATGTGGACATCTTAGCCATAATACCAACACAGACAGAAATCTGTTTTCCTGACCCTAACTGGACAATCCTTCCGTCTTTAACTTGAAAACTTTATAAATCAACTTCAACGCCCCTTTTAGGTCACTCAGAGAGGAAGCACAGGGTATTACAAGAGGACAAAAGCACAGGTCCCAACCCAAAGTTTGACCTTTAGCAACACAAACTAGCCTGACCTTCAATTTAAGTGTTGCTTTGGCAGAGTCAATATGTGCATTGTTTCCAAAAAAGCCATGCTAATGTCTAAAATCAGGAGACAGGCTGGAGACCACAGCAGTAAAGTTGTCTCTACAAAAAGTCTGCTTATGATAACCAACTTTTATTATTGTCATGAGATGCGTTCCTCCCCATTTCTTTCATGTTTTAATATTTTCACATTGTTGCAACAGACTCAATAAGAAGAATCTTGATTGATTATGAGAAGATCAATCGAGCATTTAGTGAGTTTAATGTGGAGGCAAGAATCATACAGCTGGACAATCTTTGTTTCTTGTCTTCTAGTGTGTTCATGTTTTTATCAATCAACATCTGCATCACTGGGTTGAACCCATACTATCTTTCACTCTCCTGAAAAACAACACGATATTCAGCTCAGAGCAACTGCACCGTTGATGCGGGGGCTTCGGATCTCCACAGCTGTCCAGCAGCCCCGTACCCCCACCCCCTAAATCTACCGCCCCCACATTCCCAGAAGCCCGAGCAGAGGCTGTGACGGAGGGGGCCCATCGTAGGCAACTTCCTGCAGACTGCAGGAAACAATTTGATATGGGGATTAAGCAGCACAGAGAAAAGAGCTAGTGCACATACACAGAGAGAGCACCTCTCTTCCCTGCCCTGAGGACTGAGCATCAGCTACTGCAGGGGAGGAGCGTCATTTTACGGTCACATTTCTTATCACTGAAGCTTGAGATCTGTTAAAAAATCATGGTTCAAATCAATAATTTCCTCTGCTCTGTGGTCTTTTTTATTGAGATGAACTCACAGACTGGAGACTAGTTATTCTCCTAAGACACAGACATGTTTTGTTTCAAAAGGGAAAGATCCATCACAGCGATTCGGTTGTGGAAGTTAAAACAAAACATCTGCAGGCTCTACAGCATGGATCAGCTCAGAGCATTGAATATAAAAGCCTACATATATAAAAATATATGTAGGCTGTCCCTCAAAGTAAGAGAGAGGAAGTTAACAAAGAAGAAACGTAATTCGGGAGAGGAACAAATATTTCCTTATATAACCACACAGAGTTTATTCTGTTGCAAATTTAAAGCATATGTTAACATCCTGGGGGATTAAATGTCCTCTCACCTTTTTATAGAAATGAGCTACAGTGTGTATGCTGTGTTATCTGACTGCTGGTTAAAATACAGTGTGAATGGGACACAGAGTTGAGCTCATTAATACTCATCCAATCATCACTTGTTGTCGTCACTACTAACTTGTGTGTGCTCCTTTTTATCTGTTGAAGCTACTCAACACAAACTTGAGTAGGGTTGCAGTATTTATTTTTATTTTTTAATATTCCGCTGTTGTTTTCTTGACTGTCTTGAGGAATAGAATTTCCCTCAGCTCAGGGTGATGTCTTATTTGAAGGAATCTAACGAAAATCCACACATTATGTTAACTGTTGTGTAAAACAAATACTGCATCATGTTTGAGAAGCTGGACCCAAAAAACACGGAGGATTTTTATAATGGCATATCATTAGAAATAGTGTTTTAAAAACACTAATGACCTTGTAAGACACACTCCTTCATTGTTAAGATCCTACATGGGTGTGGCTGACCTCCACTCAGGTTCAGTAGTGTGCAGATTTACTGGGAAACGTGCACAACATCCCACCTTTTAACAGGGGAAAGGAAACCAACAGGAGAGTCAGGGAGATGTAAATCAACTCCCAGAGAAGAGCTTCAATTAGCCGAAGTAAGTGAAAACACCTCTTTGAAGTGGTTAGCTTTTTATCACTGTTAATGTAAGTCATTTAATTCACTGCAGCCACACTCCCTGTAAATCTCATCAGCTTTGACCTTGTTTTTTCTTTTTCACTAATTATATGATGAATAATGAATAATAAATGCTGTTATTGGTTAAAGCACAAGATAAAATAAGCACTTCCAAAGATTAAAAATTGGTCAGGAATCAGAGGTGCTGTCTGCTCGGATCGTTTCAATATTAAACATCAGCAATTGAGTTGGTAAAACTGTTCACGTCAGTTCGTAAAGATACTTCTGACAGCAACAGTTATCCTTCTCTTGGCCACGGAAAATGTCACCAAACCAGTTTCTGACAATCAATATTTGCACTAATGTGACCTCTTCAGCTAATTTTCCGTAAAATTTTTTCCAATTCAAAATGCATCGAAAAGCAAAGGTAGCCAAGTTATTAATGGTGGCTTTCCTGTTCATCCCATGCGAATGCAGCATTATCTACTCTATCAAGATAGAGATGGACTCAAGCATATGGTCCGTTCACAAATACTGGTCATCACGACTGATGAGCGAATTGTTGAGGTGCCCTTTACGGTGGCACGCTTAAATCTGCCAAGTACGAGCAGCGCAATGAGTTGATTAGATTGTGACCATATGTAGCTGCTGTGATTGAGTGATGAGTAATTGATTTCAGTCCAGGGTCTAATCAAAACGCAGAGACGCTAATTAAAGTGAGAAAAGGGGTGTCCTTGCTGTCGGGCTCAGATGACCGCATTGGAAACAGCGGAGACATGTCCCGGCATACAAAGCGGGTCCTTGTCACCACAAGAATGGGCACATTTGCAAAAAGTGACCCTTGCGCGGCTGCGTCACATAAATACTTAATCTGATGGACGAGACAGCCAGACTGGTTCAAACAAATGAACTCAACCCAGTATGTGAGTCAGATGTCCAGGCTTATCTATGGTTCACAAATGATGGGCCTGCGTCACTTCACACAGATTTTTATTAGACGTCCGAACAAGCACAAGAGATAAATAAGCCCATCTAAAACAGCATCATGTTTGTGCACTGAATAATCAGAGTTTCTTTTTGTAGAAATCCATCCTCCTCTCTTTCGTTTCTCTATCCCCTTCCCCCACAGTGCACGGGCTGGCTGCATAGGCCTCTGGCTGAAGCTGGGCTGGTGGGAAAATGGGAATGTGGTGATTAAGACTGGGCCTATATGACCTCCCAGCTAAAAATACGCTGTTTACTCAAGACCACTGCCAAGAAACTCTGGACGAGGCAGAGGGGAGAGGGAAAAAAAAGTCATGTTTTGAGAAAGGAGGTGGTGGGGGGGGGGGGGTGAGACAGGAAGTCAGAGTTAGTGACTGAAGGAGTGTGTTGATGAGAAAAGAAATCTTATGATAGAGCGTTTTTTAAATATCCAAATGAAATCGCTCTGATCGTGATGATGTGAATTTAAACTTTCTACATTTCCTGACGTCGTTCAAGGGGTTGGTGAGTGATGGGTGGATGGCTGATAGACAGACTGACGGACACTCAGACAGGCTGGGGGCCCACTTCTAAGCTTTCTACCCAAACACTCACATGTTTCATGCACACACACACAATCTGTCTCTCACGCACAGACGTACTGTATATCCACACACATGAAATACATTATCAAACACTGGTCTCTTTCAGTCATCACCGCCTGGCAGCCCCTACCGCAACATGTCAACTTTTTGACAGTCAAAAGCCATCAAAAATGAAGAAGAGGGGGCTAATAAGAGGGCAGATGGAACAAATGATGAGAAAGAGAGATGGGGAAGTCCTCTGGTGTCCATTTCTCCTTCTGGTAGAGTTTGCACTCTGCCCTGCCATCACTGCTGCTAGACGCAGTGAGGAAAGTAAAACTAGTGATGATGTAAGACAGATTTGAGTGTGAACACAGCAGGAGGGAGCTGGCTGGCTGGCACTGTGCTGTCTGAAGCTCTGGTCGGAGCTGGTATTACCATTCGTCCTGATAGATCCTATCACAAGTGGTCAACGCTAAGTGAGTTCACACTTAACTGACGTTAAAATGTGTCCTGAATGTGTCTCCTGTGACCACTTGTCATTAAATCTAGCTCCCTCTACAAATATATATATA